AAATGACTTTAAAGGGTCGCAATTTGATTTATACTCTTTTTCTCAGGGGGGTACAGACAAGAAGGGAAATTAACTTTCGCGACGCAGATGCCTATTTCAAACTGTGTGTTTTAATTCCATGACAAAAAAAAAAAATATTTGTGCCAAAAAAAAGATAATTCTCTTTATTACTGAATAATTTCTAAAAATTTCAATAAAATCATAAAATCATCTTTATTTTAGAATTTAAAAATTAACTTTTTTTTATCTGATGAATTTATTGCTCAGCCCAGTCTTATTTCAAAAACAAACTGTGTATGTTTTTCTATGCATATGTAGGTATTCTGGCGTATATAATAAATAGCACAAGTATATGTAACTTACATCACACGCAACAGACATACACGTTAAATATGCGCATAAAAATTCACACGCTGACGGACAGAGAATCAGTTTTGTTTTTATAATATAGATTCCCAATATCAATGTGGAAATAATCAAATGTTGTATTATAATTTTATTCTATTTTGCTTCAGATGACTTTTCGCTTATAATTTCCATAACGCTACGAACGACAGGATTTTATATTCGTTGCATTGGTCGCTATCGCCTCCATTGGGATAGCACCACCTGTGATCAGGTCCGATGAGAAAACTCAGAGAAAATGAGGGAGAGAAGCTCATTCTCTTTCTGAAGCATTATCTGATATGTAAGTGTAAATTCTTCCTATCCCCGGCTGGATTCATTGTCTGTCAACGTTTCGAAAATTACCTGGAAAGAGCCTTCCAAGCAAACCTCAATCGAAGACTCATCAGAATTAATTACCATATCTTACACCTGATCAAGAAAATGTTCGCATCTCCAAATACCAATCACATCACACGCCCGTCTCAGAAGTGGAATGGTAACACGAGTAAATCGCATTATTGCGGTCTAACTTTATTCCTTCTTTCATTTCCAGTTGGAAATAAATTATCATTTCGTTAATATTATAATGTGTATGATATTGGCTGGTTCCTAGTTTCCGAGTAAATCTGTCTGACGCCTGTTCAGGCACATTTGTTTGTTCAACGAATCCAGGTAACAAAAAAAGCCACAGGTAAAAAAAAAAAGGAAGCAGGACAAAGTTAGAACACAGCGGACAAAATCCCAGCCTCTTATCCCAAAAGTGGACAAAATCACTATTACTGGAGAGATATATATGCTAGAAAGATTTATTCTTCCATTTGTATTTCCCCTGTTATGGGCATTATTATAACTGTGATATAAACAGGCTTTGTTCTCAGAGAGACTTTTATACTACTAATACATACACAAAACTAGAGAGAGAGAGAATGTGGAGTATAATATATCACATGTATCTACACAGCGGGCAGAGTGTAAGGGAAAAAAGGGAAGGGTGTTGCATATAATATGGAGATACACTTGTGCCTGGAGAAGTCATGTTTAGGACTACAGATTCAAGCGAGCTAGATTCATCTACTATATACCAGGCGAAGACATATTCCACAAACTGGAAACAGAGACTCCTGGGTTTTCTTAAATTGAGGACTGCGAGCTGGATTTTTTTCTATATCTCGGGAAGACATATTCCCAAACTAAAACGGCGACATGGGCTTGTAAGCTGCTGAGGGAGGCAGATTTAACTTTAAAAAAAAGAAAAAGAAAAAAAGGCAACCACTTGGTTTGGCTGCGTGAACAAACTGAATGACTGACTACTCTCATGTATGAAGTAAATGGCTGTCACGTTACCCATGTGACTACCTGGACCAAAGGGTGATAATCACCTTCAGTATCCCTACGTCCCAGTCTTATAAATAATTTGAAAATTCAAGAAACTTTTAATTCAAATTTTAATGTCAAATTGAGACTTTCTTCACAGTCAAATCTTATAGGATACTTGGACTCCCTAACTATGAAATATATCGAATATGTATGTAACCATAACATTGTTAGAAAACTTTTTTTTTTACGGTTTAATCTCTTTTCGTATACAATCTCTGTAAAAAAAAACTTCTTAAGGTTTTCTTCAAATAAAATCGGGTCTTTCTTCCTAATTATGAAAAATATCGAATATGTGATCATAGTATTGTTAGGAAACGTTCTTAAAGGTTGGATTGATTTACTATGAATTTCTGTTGCAGACAGAGCGGACTCATAAACTCGTGAAGATCCGACAGATAACTTTATTGCGGGCCACTATAAATCGTGACTTTTTCTCCTAGCCAAAATTATGACTTTCCTATGACTTTTTCCTGTGACTTTATTACTAGCCACGTATTCAACACCTACAGAGCCCACCTGTGGTTTATACTGCAACTACACTGAGCGGACCTTAGTTACAGTTTTCAGGAGAGAGCGCGTTATCTGGTGTGATTAACAGTTTGAACAATGCACTCTCATTGAACTCTCACACCTTCGATCACGATGACTTGTGACTTCGTGCTAGCACAACCATCAACAAACAATTCTGTCTACTGTCTACCCAATTTCAGTCCCAAGGCTTGGTTCAATCGATGGTATGGTTTTCAAACAATTTCTACACGTTGCCGCATACTAGGATCTCCTCCACAGACCAATAATCTAAAGAACAAATGAACCTGGGCAGCGGCCAACGTTCTAACCACTCGACCGCGCGATCATTTCGTCATTATTAACATAAAGAAAATACATTCACTATTGATTTATTTGTATTCACAATATATATTTAGTGACTCATCTTAAATTTAGTAAACGCCACATTTAAGAATAGGATGGAATAAACTCGTTACTAATGATCTGAGACTAGCTTAATACCCATTACTCCACAGATGGATACCAAAGAATGCTATCTACTTGGTGATTTATTTACTAAAATCTCAACAACAAAAAACATCAGATCGATTAAGTATTGATAATTCTCTCATGGTATTTATATGATAATTCATTTGATATTTATTTACTAGGGCTGGTGTCACTAACAATTTATTTAAATTCCATACAACAAACTACATGATTTCCCCTTTAAAGTAACCCTCTCGAGTTTTAATACAGTTTTCTATGCTTTTCTGGCACGCTTCTATACACTGATGAAAGGATTCTTCTTGGGTGCCTCTCAGCTCCATCGTTACGTCCTCCCATATACTTCAAAACAGGTCCCCTTGATGATCTCCTTGAGCATGGGGAAAAGAAAACAAAGTAACACGGAGTAAGATCAGATGAAGAGGGAGACTGTTCCAGTACAGTGAGAGATGCTCAGAGCGTTGTGGAGCAGGTGCATTGTCGTAGTGAAGCAGCCACGATTTGTCCTGCCACAACACTCGTCTATTCTCGCGCACTGAACGAAGGAAACGCCGCAGGATCTTTTTATAGACTGGTTGCCTGGCTCTGTAGAAAGACCTCATTTTGAACGATGCCTCTCACATCGAAGAACATGATCAGTCCCATTACTTTTCAGACAGACCTCGTATATGGTATTTATATAATAATTCATATTGATATTTATCTATATGGTATTCATATAATTCATTTGATAATACAAAATCAGAAGTGTTACGTTCACGTGTCCCGTATCCCATTTGCCGTAGGGGTATCACATGCATTGCAGCCATAGTAACAGTGGGTGTGTCTTGGGCAAGATAGCCTGACAAAGCCCAACCCTCTTCAGGCTGGTTTGAATTCAGTTTTCCTTATAGACTAGTCGCCAGTTTATAGGACCCAGCCTGTCCTGCTATATACCCTTTCTCAAAGATATTGGCACGTAAGTGAATGAAACTCGACTAGAATTCGAACTCGCTGTCCGATTCCTCGATCCGATATCAATTAATCCACTGCGCATTCTCAGTAGTATAGTGAACAGTAAATGTAATGAACAAATTCGAAAATCAGCACTAAGTTACTTCGGTTTTTCACTTGATATATTTATTTTGATTCGTTTTGAGGAAAGAGAAAATAATTATCACTACAAAGTTTTCGTACAACGTACAATTATAGTTGGTCGTAAGTTCGGGGTGGTCAATGTTGCTAAATGAGGATTTCTTGAATTTAAAATAATGTTGAATACTGTTTCCATAAAAAATATTTTTATCAATTAAAAATCAGTTTAAATAAATACTATAGTGTCTACTAAGATGGCGAGCTAATCTCTGTTACAGACGCCTGCTCAGGCACATTTTGTTTTTCTCCGGCCATCACAGAGGTAGACTGTGGTTCATACTCTAAATGAAAAACTGTAACGCATAATCTGGTGTGGAACAAGGCAAGCACGCTCAAATCATCGATCGCGATGACTTTTGACTTCATGCTAGTACAACCAAACAATGGTTTTTCTAGCACTCCCTAACAATTTCTTTTTATTTTTTAACCCAATTTTCCTCACAAGGCTTGAATCAATGTCTGACATGGTTACTACCAGCATTCTATACGAACGGTGCCGTACCTTAGGATCGTCTGCCCATTCCGATAACACCAAGATGGCACCTTCTTGACAAATCGGCTACGTTGAGATTAAAACTAGGGTCTCATAGTATGAATGCTAATGTTCTATGCACTCGACCACACCCCCAAGGGATTTGTATAAAGAAACATTAAACAGGCATATTCCTCTACCTTTATTCTTTATTTTATTTTTATTTTTTGCTGATCAGAGATCAATGAATGCACGTCATATAGCAACTTCTGTTGGTGTATGAGCTGTTAGTGCTGATCAAAATATTGAGATAAAAAAATCAATAATGCAAATCGAAGAGAACAATCTGAAGACGCTTCTCAAATGGGATTTCACTTGACTTGTTTTCGCTTCAAATCCCCTCAAACATTTCACAACAATCAACAAATTGAAGTGACAGTCAACAGCGAAAGAATATCCCAAGAATGATACCACTGTTCTTCATTATTAACAAGTGTGTGGCGGCCCGAATTGGCGCAGTTAGTAACACACCAGGAAAATGAAATCAGGCAAGCATGTTCGATTTCTAAGTCTTTGCATCTTATGCCACTTCTGAGTTCAATCTATTTCTCCCTTAAATGTCTAAATTCTTTCTTCACTTCAACGATTCAAAATAGAAAAAAAAGTAAAGGAAATTTAAAAATACGGAAATCAGAGAAAAAAGAAAAGTAATAAAGAAAGTAGATGCAAAGGCAAGAATGAAACAACTGAAAGAAAGAAAAAATAGACGCGAAAGAAAGAATGATATATTAAAATAAAGAATAATGAATAAGAAAAGAATAAAAAAAATAACAAAAAATAAGAGACGGTGGGAAAGAAGAGAGCAAGAAAAGGATTTGTGAACAAAAAGCAGCCGTAAAAACTTTTCTAATCACCATCATCAAGAAAGAAAAAATAGCCAATGAAATTGTTTATCATTTTAAATCAATGGTCGAACTACTTCTCTTCGGAAATCCTATCTTCACTTATGGTTGTTTACCCACGGGGATTAATGGAATAGACGAGCGAACAAGAAAGGAACCGTCTGCTCTGAAAATTCCAGTGCCATCTGTTTGCTTTACTTTGAATCAATGAAGAAATGATGATAACAATAACACGATACAAAAATAGGCCAGGATGGGTATTTACTATATTTACTGATATTTTATTCACATAGACTGTTATTAAATATGTTTTATCAGTTAACACTTAGAAAAAAAATAAGTCACCCATAATATTTTTTATTAAATTTCAATAACATGAAATGCTTATTAGTTTTATTTCAATAAATATACGAATTTTGCGATATTTTAATGTATTCATATTTGTTCGGTTATTAGTATTAATTTTGCTTTATTTTTTTTCGAAAATTCTGTGTTTCTAGAGAGATAAATCCGAAGATAACTACATTTAGGATGAGACTGCATAGAATTTAAAATTATGATCAAGTGAATAAATGAATGAATGAATATTTAACTGGTTAAGTGTGATAACTCAGAGGTAACTGAAGAAAAAAAAAAACAATAAAAAGGGGAGGTAACCGAAACAAACAGAACGAATGCGAGAATAAGGCAATAGACCAATTTAAAGGTAAGGAACGTAATCAAAAGTGAAAAAAAAAAGATAAACAGATCGCATAAAAAGAGTCAGTATAACTGAGTATATGAACGAATGGGTTGTCGAAAAGATGAAAGAAAAAGGTGACAGGAAGGTAAAAGAAGGAAAAAGACGAGATGGATTGGGTGAATGAAAATGTGAGACATCAAAAAAATTATATTATGAAAAAGAATAATAATAATAATAATAATAATAATGAATCAAACTAATAAAATAAATCTATGATATCGATAAAGTATGAAAGAGAATAAAAGATATGAATGAAATAAGATTCCGCTCAAAAAAAAAGAAATGAATCAGGCGAGGAACGAAGGAGACGAAAAAGAATAAGTGAAGAAAGAAAGTGTAGTAGTAATAGGTGAAGTTAATAAATAAAATAAAAATATTTCTAAAATCCCCTGAAAAGTATCCCCTACTTATCATCTCCTTAACACCTTGTTAACATTAACAACGGCATTCTTAAAGACAGGTCAGTGGGTTAACTTCATTGCTGAAACCAGATACTTGGGTAAGCAAAACAAAAAAAATCAAAAACCCTGTACCAAAGCGAAGGACAATCCTATTTACAGTCACTGTACTTCCCAACCTCTTACCGAACTTTAGCCTTTCACCAGAAAGTGTGATAGGTTGATCCAATTCTATAAGCACCAAAGAACTAATCAAAACGACTACCTGATACAAAGAAGGATCTCTCCCCCTCTCATAACCGATGGGCGCGCATTACCGATGCCGCGACAAGTGGGGGGGCGCATGGTAAGCACGGAACCCTAGGGCGCGAGTCTGGGTGGAGCCGACCGCTACAACGTCTATCTCTCTCTGTCTCTGTGTCTCTGTCTCTGTCTCTGTCTCTCTCAACGTACCGTAAGCTACAAGAAGGATACAATTTGTATCCATAAAAAAGAATAAACCTTCCAAAACAACATTTGCTCTGCGTCCATTCATTTTGAATATAAAAAACAACTGCACCAACCTCTACAAAAGCATAAGAAAAATGAAGGCTAGAAATTGAAGAATTGCCAAAACTTGCAAAAGAATGATAAGTAGCTAAAGGACATATGGATAAAATGAGGAAAAAATTGACTGAAATTTACTGTGAAAGAAAAAAATAATGTTTGACAAATGAGTGCGACAATCAAGCATTGACAAAAGAGAAAAGTGAACTTGAATGAAATGAAAGAGTTTAAATTAGATAACAAATTGTAGAAACAGCGGAAAGGAGTCAAGATAAGAAACGTTGAAATAAAATATTTTCGAAACAGATGTAAAATAACAAAAGAGAATACGAAACGGCAAAAGGGAGAAAATGGCAGAGAAACAAAAAATAGGCAAACAAGGAGCAACGATAACAATAGAAAGGGGAAGAATAACAAAGAAGAGAGAAAAGGGAGGGGGATAATTCAAAAGGGGACAATGTTTAGCATGGAAAGACATGAGAGAGAAATGAAAGTAGAGGGTAGACACTAAAAACAGATGAAAATAAGGTAGAGATAACAAACAGAAGGAAATAAGGGAGAGACAACAAATATAAGAAAATGAGAGAAAGACAGAAAATAAAAGAAAATAAGGTAGAGATAACAAAGACAATAATTTTTGGTAAAGACAACAAAACAGAAAATTTAAGGAGAGACAACAAACAGATGAAAATTGAAGAGAGATTAGAAAAGTTAGGAATAAGCACGAAATAAGAGAAAATAAGGAAGATATAATAAAGAGAATAATGTTGGATAGAGACAACAAATTAGAGAACCTGGGGAGAGACAACAAAAATTTAGCAATAGACTTAAATTAGGGGAAAATAAGGAAGAGACATCAAACAGAAGGAAATAAGGGAGAGACAACAAATATAAGAAAATGAGAGAGAGACAGAAAATAAAAGAAAATAAGAGAGAGATGACAACAATAAGAAAATAAGGGAGAGACAACAAATGAGAAAATAAGGGAGAGATAACAAATGAGAAAATAAGGGAGAGACAACAAATGAGAAAATAAGGGAGAGACAACAAATGAGAAAATAAGGGAGAGATAACAAGTAAGAAAACATGAACCGGAGATAATAAGCAGAAGAATGATAGGAACAGACAACAAAATATACAGACAACTAACAGAAAAAAATAAGGGAGAGACAACAAAAAATAAAAGAAAATAAGAGAGAGAGAGGGAGAGAGAGAGACAGAGAGAACAACAAATAGAAGAAAGTTAGGGAAATACAACAAATAAAAGAAAATAAGAGAGAGACAACAAACAGAAAAAAGTTATGGAGACAAGTAAGAAAAGCAAGAGAGACAACAAGAGAAAATAAAACAGAGGCAATAAACAGAAAAAAAGTTAGGAAGAGACAAGGAATAAGAGAAAATAATGGAGAGACAAAAAACAGAAGAAAATAAGGGATAACCAATAAGAGAAAATAAAAGAGAAACAAGAAGAAGAGAGTTAGGAAGATGTAACAAATAAAAGAAAAAAGGGAAAGAGAACAAATAGAAGAAAATAAGGGAGAGACAAGAGACAAAATAAAATAATGGAGAGATACAAAAAAGTTAGGGAGAGAGGACAAATAAAAGGTAAAATTGGGGGAAGAAACAAAAAACGCGAGAAAGTAAAAGAAAATAAGAAACAGAAGGCGAGAAAGAAAGGAAGTGAAAATGAGTGAGAGATAATGAACAAAAAAGGATGAGAGAAAAAGACTGAGCCAAAAAAAAAACCCAAAAAACATGTTAAAACATAAAATAAAATAAAAAAATTAGTGGTCTGTCTGAACACTACGAGAAAATAACCGATTTCGTTATTTTTTCTTTCTCTTCTTTTACTCTATTTCTCTTGCTTGTTCATTCTTCCTTTTACTCTCTTAGATTCTGTCATTTATTTCGTATTTTTCCTTCCAGAAAGATCAAAATGATTCGCTTCTTTGTTTTCTCTTCTTTTATTTTCTTTTATTTATTTTCTTGACAATTATTATCATTTTCAGAAGCCAAAATGCGCTTTGGGTAGCACAAACAATAGTTCTTGTCTTTGAAGATGGTAAAGAAAGAAAAAATGCAGAGAAAAGATTCAAGACCGAACTCAACAACAAATAATAAACCAATGCTGACCGCAGACATTGTCGAAGTATGGCACATTGATTTGCAGTTACGAAATCCGATATTTCAAGTTTAGTGTTGTCAATTCTTTAACCCATGTCCTCCTAGCATCAGTTTAAAATGACACCTTTTTACATACTAGAATTTTTTACAAGACACTGACGCGTGTTAAAATCCTCACGACATTTAGTATTGTAGAAGTTATTGCTAACATTTTTGTCGAAATTTACAAACTCTACGTTTCTTTCAGTTTCGAAAGCTGATTCATGAGGAAAAATACTTTGCTAAAAACTTACTTCACGGTTTAATAATTTCTTTAATTTAATTCAATTTTATAGGACATCATGGTAAATAATATTTTTTAAGAATTTTTTTACTTTTTTAACAACGAAGACTAAATTCTTTCTTACTCTTGAGCATGCAACATATTCCTTTCTGGGGCCAAATTCCAACTTTTTGAAGGGTTTGGCCTTATGATTTTTCATAGTTCTATCAAACGCAGGGCGAACTGGAAACTGGATTCTTGTATATAAAAACTTAAAGAAAAATATGCAAATAGTAATATTGCATTTTTATTAAATAAGTAATTATTTTAATCATTAAATTGTTTTTTAAATATTGGGAGTATTTTGCATGTTAAATATTAAAACATTTATTTAAAAAAAAAAATAAATGAAAATTAATTGTACTAAGCTACGCACCCTAGTAAAGCAACGATACTTTTATACCCTTACTTGTTTGCACTTCTCTCCTAAAATTTGGTTTCGGTCGGTATGGCTATTTTAGAGGGTATGATGGACGGACAGACTTACACAGAATTTTATATATAGATATATAAACTATGAATTATAAACTTCAATTTTCCAAAGTGAAAATTTTCCTGAAATATATTGTAAAATTTTCCTGAAACCAAGAAAATAAACAAAATAGTGATAACATATGGAGAAAGGGGCGCATCAGTTTAAACTGACACCAGAATGGTATGGGTTCTTGTTAAATTACAGATTCATTTTTTACTTTAATTTCAAACTTAATTTTTCTAGATATGAATATCACACTCTCGCATATTTACTATTTGTGAAAGATGCTTTGTGTGCGTAGTTTCATTGATTCCAGGATCATTTAGTGACTCTTATGTATATTTTTCTTCGTTATCTGATGATTTTACTGTGGCTTAGTATATTACATTGTTTTATAAGTAATTGCCGTTTTCGTTCTATATTCTGCAGTAACACTTTTTTCGGGTGATTTGTTGATAGTTTTCCTGTTGTGATTTTTATTATTTGTGCCATGTTCTCGGTGCAATCATAGCTGATTTTTACTGTTTTTGTTGAATATTTCATGGAGAATTCTTTCACAACTGTGAACTGCCATGAATTCTTGAAAAAATGAAGTCATTTCCCTTCGCCTACTTCACATTTTGGACTTCAGAGCTTTCCTTCTCTTAGACTGGTTGCTAGTCTGCTATGTTCACAGCTAGAAGAACCTGTGTAGTTAGGCTATAAAAGACTAATTTTTCAAGTTTGGTAATGTTAGTTTTAAAGATTTCAGGAAACCTTTTTTTTTCAAGATCAGCAAAACAGAAAGTTGACTGCTGTGCAGTTTTTTTTAATCATTTAACCCCAAGAAAGTCAGGAATATCACTAGTACGCAAGGGGTTACAAGAAGTGAAAGTCAGAGAAAAAACTGAGTATAAGGCGAATTAATGAACGGACAAAAGATGAGCGGTATTCAAATAGATAGAAGATGGCAAATGATGTTGCATTTAAAATTTTTGAAAATTGTAGTTATCAAGGAAGCAAGTAAACGGAAGGTGGGAAGTGCGAGAAAAGAAACTATTGGAGTAGAAGTGGCGGTTGCATTTTAACTATTTCAACATTAAAAGGATGGGACCTAAATGCCAATTTAGTAGCACACTTAAATTCATGTAATCGGGGCACCGGGGCGGGGGAAGCTCTTCAGCCGTCCTGGGTATGACGATAAACTACATCCAGTCCTGGGTAAGACGATAAACTACATCCAGCAGCAAAGCTACTGATCAGAAGGATTTGAGGTGCGTGTAATCACCTCTTAATTGCTGGTGTTCCCAGGTCCACACTGACCCGAGGTGGTAGCACCTATTAGGGTGCCAGCTTTGAGCAAATAGTTAACCCACAAACTGGGGTCAAAACACTATGAAAGAGTAAAAATAGGTTTTAATACCAAAAATACTTTGTAAAAAATTAATGCCAGCAATACATTATTACCAGAAATACACTTTTGAAAAAAAATTATTCCCAGAAATAGATTTTTTGAAGGAAAAAAATATTACCAGCAATAAAAATTTTGTCGGCATTAAATAACCCATTGAGGTTGATATGTCGTACCAAACCAAACCAAACCAAAAGCTCTTCAGAGGAATTGCCATGAAAATATTTGTAGAAAAGACTGTCATGTTTACGATTAAAACACAATCCAGAATTCAAATAATGCTATTAAAAATCTTATTTGTTAAAATGAGAAGAAAATGGACAGTGAAGGCGGATATAGAATCTCCGTAAATATCAATTCGAAATAAGAAAGAAAAAAATTACGAAGAGGGAGAAAAATGCTGACCAGTTCTTTTTTCAATTTGCTATTTGTTGTGATCTTTTCTTTTTGTTCATTCTCTTCTCATTTTAATAAATTTGTCTGTTTTTATGGCATTAATTAAATTTCGTACCCCCAAGAAAATCTTTAAATCATGATTCATCTGAAATACTGAAAATGGGGAACAATTGCTAAAGTAGTTGGAAAGTTTTCATTGCTTCAGTATGAAATCGAGAGAAGGCAATCGTTATTACATTCATGTATTTACAAAACAGACAGATGTTTACCAACCCTGGAACCCAAATACAACTTTCTTTGACTTTCAGAAGACGAAAAACATGACCTTCGCTAAAAATCATTAAAATTCTTTCTCTCACCAAGATGTAACGAAGTCTTGTGTTGTGCGCACATACGTGCAAGAAACAACGTTTTTTTTTATTTTATTTTCGTTTTTTTTTTCACACATACAGGTGTTACCAAGACAGTTATTTTTGTAATACATTTTGCCATAAATAGCTAACAAAAACCTCTACATAGTGACACAATTTAAATTTATCAGTAACGAAACGTGTTCATCTATGCATTAATCTTAATTGTCATTAAGTTGATTGGATGGTTAAAGATTTTGGCCAAAAAATGCACTCTTAAGTAAAATCAATTCATGTTTAAAAGTCACGTAGGTTAAAGATATTTACAGTTGTTTTATAGGACTTTATCATTAAAGACCCTTATTGCAATTTCTAATGTATTTTTGTGATTCATTGATCCTCTAATCAATGATTCATTTGTGATAAATACATTCTGATTATATTCTAATACAGGAAGGAACAACACCACTGACTAAGCGCCGGGACAACTCAGGACTAGACAACTTAGTACCAGAAAAACATAACTTCTTTTTAACCCAAATAACAGTAATTTATTAAGGATTAAAACATTAATTAGTGAATATTTTTATTCATTATTTTTAATAAAGTAAATCGTAAAGTAATTTAATTTTTAATAAAGTAAATTGACATATAAAAATAATTCAATAAAATACACTTGTTTTGAATTATTTTTAATAAAGTAAATCAAAAATTAAAAAAAAACAAAATGAAGCAGTTTTTTTGTTTTTAATTATTTTTAATAAAGTAAATCGAGATTACATAACGATTTGCTTTATTTAAAAATAAATTTCTTTACGATTTACTTCATTAAAAATAAAAAAAAATGGTCCATATTTTACATAATGCCTTTTCAAGTGGTATATTTGAAGAAAAATATTCACTAATTAAGGTTTTAATCCTTAATAAATTAATTTTATTCGTTTATGAAAAAAAGTCATGTTTTCTAGTGCTGAGTTGTTTTAGTCCTGAGTTGTCCTTCACCTATTCAACAATTTCAAGAGGTTGCCAGC